GGTTCAGAGGAAGATGGGCCCCGGAGTGATTCTGTGGGCTGCTATGTTTGCTTGTCTTATAATACGTATTTTTCGACTTGTCTTTTCAGCCGGAACAGTGTTTTCTCTCACAATAAATCAGCCGGAACAGTGTTTCAGCTTATTTTTTCAGCGAGGTGAACATGGCATGTATGTACAGTATATTGATCCAATATATACATATGCACTTTGTTCGTTTGCAGCTCGTTGATTCTACTCACTTTAAAGATAGACAAATAGGAAGTTGTTGCTGCTGGTACGTGGATCTTCTATGTTGCTGGTGAATAGCCAGTGGGCAGGATCTTGGTCAGGGCCCAATTGAGATGCCAGCGGCGAGAGGTGGCTGCGAGGGGGTTGTTACCTTCATAAAAAAAAAAGAATACAATTCAACGTCAAACCATCTTAAATTTGACTAGATATACAAAGAATTGTATCAAACATGTACAACTTTAAATAGATATATTATAAAGAATATATTTTATGACAAATCTAATCATATCTATATTTAATATGATAAATACTAATATTTTTACATAATTTTGATTAGATTTTATATAGTTTGACTGCTACAGTTCTTTTTTAGATAATGGAAGATCATCTAGCTTCACTCCTACGAGGAAGGAATCAGACCAAAGTTTAAGGGAAATCGGTCTCATACACTAATTAAACTTTAGGGGGCGTTTGGATCCTTTCATTTGGAGAAATTGAAATGCACTTAATAAAACATTCCACCACTTTTCAAAGTTTCCATATAAGTCTAACTCAAATTCATACGGTGGAAGATGTAAACTGTTTCTATAGATCACCATTCTATGTTTCTACTTCGCAACTTATAACACGCTCTTTAATTTGCTCCCTATGATAGAAATACAACACATAAATATCTCTCTCATATATCTAACAATAATATATAAATATAATATATATACAATCATATTAGCTTAATTAATATGTGTCTAAATTATGATTATTAAAATAAATTCAATTTTCAAGGATCGAAACAGGGCCTTAGGGTTTTTTTTTGAAAGTAAGCCTTAGGGTATTTTGTAAGCCTAAAAATATAAGCTCATAGCCATCGATCTATGAGAGAGGAAGAAAACAATGGCCCTAGACTCCGACGTGTCTCAATTGTATTTATGGGATAATCGGAGCAGATACGAAGGAGAGGAAGGACCAACCTACGCCGCTAGCCCCATGCTGTGTGCAGGTCCACAAACATGCACGTGACGCACAAATAATTGTCCTAGCTAGGGCCACAAAAAATATCGAGAATTGACAGGGTCTCTGTCTCTTGTGCACACCACTACTAATAAGTCTACGTGACAGTATACGAAGAAGTTTTTTTTCTATAAAAGAAAAGAAACATGTACGAATACACTAATAATAAGAAGAAGACAAGAGAGAAGAAGACATACGTGCGAGGGCTTGTGTATGCCACACCCACACACATACGTGCGAGGGCCATGGCTGGCTGCCTCAGCTCTAACAGCTAGCAGCCTTGGTGCTACACACACATCATCATTTGTAGTCACCGGCCGGCCTACCACGACCTTGCACATCACTAGGCGTACGTACGTCGTCTTCTTCCGCCTTTTCCAACTTTAAGATGCATGACACACGACATGGATCGAATGGTATCAACCATGAAGAAATAAAATCAAGATAGCATCGTAGCAGTGTTTGATAGCTACTAGATCGATGCATGAATGAGTGAAAAAGATGAGGTACACAGAAAATAAGAAGATAATATGGATGATTGAGAGAGAGAGAGATGATTGGGAAAAGAAAAACACACATTGAGAAGTGAAACAATAACTAATTTAGGAACAGTGGAGAAGGCTAGAATGACAACCGTTATGGAACGAAGGGAGTATATAGGTACACACTCCGTTTCAAATCAAGAGCCATTCTAGCTGTAAATATACGAATCTCAATAAATATTCGTTCACATTTCATAACTAGAATAACAAGTATTTTAGGATAGAGGGTGTATATAACAAACACTCGCCACTGATATATGACTCATCACACACACGCCCACACAACCTGCATCCGCACATGCACCTAGGCACACACGCCTTTCCATATAAATCTAGTTAAATTTTAGATTATTTGATCTAGCACTGAGTTAAAATTAGTGACGTCCTATTTGCAACGTTGGCACACACATACAGTCTTTCTATACAAATTTGGTTAAATTTTAGATTATGTAATCTAGCACTATTTTAGAAATTGGTGACGGGCCTGTCTCTGGTGGACCCAGGTAACGCGCTTCGCGCGCACACCGTAGCGCTTCGTTCCGCACATGATCAGGACGGAAAGGGAAAAAATAGGATTTTCTTAATTGGAGTGTGCCTTCAGAGACCTTCTTAATATGCATGGCCGTGCATTAGCTAAAGTCTTTTAAAATGATATCGTCTAGAATCTTTCTCGGATGGAAGGAGTATACGTACATGGAACGGACAAACCAAAAACGGGTCGCCCTCAAAGGCAGGCAATATAATGGACTCACATTTATTACCCAATATATTCCCATCTGCGCCGGCCACATAAATAAATAAATACATCCACCAATGCTTACATGGTCGTCCTCATGCATATATGCATGGTCGTCGATGGTCCATACGTTCATACCATATCCAAGTATCCATCAAATAATATACACAGAGACGCGGGTAAATTAAAGCATTTTCCCTAAACGTGAGGTGCCTGAAAATTAAGGCTTACATGAAGCTAGCGACGTGCTAGCCAAGTGTGAATCTAGACGTGTTAGCATAGCCACAGAGAGTACTTGGTTTTTTTTTTGTACGTCCACTTCTCCTATACTCCATTAAACATTGCTATTTGTATTTGTCTTACGAGTTTATGTTTTTGTATAACGGGCGTTTTGCTTTTGCCTAATTAACGGTCACAAATCCTACCCGGCGGTGTTTTTTTTTTGGCACGACTAGCTAGCCCTCGTCCTCTCTCTTCTCTCTTTCTTGTTCCTCCTACGTGTTTGACCATGTGGAGCCCTGATGCTCGCATGTGAAGCGCCCCGGTGCACGCCCTCGATCATGCGTGTGGCGCCATAGCTAGGACGTGGATGGAGGGATCCAACGGATAAGTGCCGGTCGTGGATGGAGGGCGGTCACGAGGCAACAGATGAAAGGGGTTTGAGAAAAATTCTCTCGTTTTCCTTTTTTTTTTAGTCTAGAGCATCTCCAAGAGCACCCGAAAGAGTATCTCAATCTAGGAATTTTGGTAAGATTGAAAAAACTTATCTCCAATAACTCCCAAACCCGGCCACCTCCTAATCTTTTAGCACTTGAAAAAATTACCCCACGTGCTTAAAGTTACGAGCGCGATGTTGCCGCCCCAATCTGAGGTGGAAGGACGTTGTGAAAAAAAAAAGTAGGACAAGGTTCCTGATGTAAATGTACAATAGAGAAATAACATATAAAAGTGGTCACTGTGATTTAGAAATAGTTTAGGATTCCCGATGTAAAATTACCTTCTATCTTTTAGGCGCCAGATTTTGGTGGAGTTGTATCTTTTTTATGTCTCCTAATATATTTTGCAAAGGTTGGAAAACAAGTTTTTTTTTTGGAGAGATGCTCTAAGAAAAACATAAGAAAATGAAATCTGTTGTAGCTAGTTTTTTTTTTCCCTACCATTATCATTCTAGAACTGCTCCAATACTTCTCTTTTCAAAATTGCACGGATCTGAAAGCAGGCTATTAATTAATATTTATTAAATGTTTGCCTAACCTTTTTTTCCACCTGGGCCTCGCGTGGGTCTGATCCGAGTAAACCCAAAAACCCGTGCCCAGCCCAAATGCGTCCGTAACTCATCTCCCCGATCCTTTTTCCTTTTTTCTTTTGTTCCGTTTCCTCATGTGCAGGCAGCCGGCGGCGTCGCGGCGGTGCTCCATGGTTGTCCTCTCCGCACAGGCACTTTCCCTATGCGCTAGCAGCCGACAAGGAGCGTACCTACACACCATGACCAGGGCAGCACCTGTGTCTCCCTCCTCGATGGTCATGAGGAGCTGTTCGTTTCTTGCTAGGAGAGGAGGTCCAACGTAACGGCACCATTCCATCGCCGGCGCCTTTCCATTCCGTTGGCTAAATTTTTTTCTATTGAACCATCATTGCCTGGTACTAGTTGCGGCTATACGTATATGGCCACTGGCTGGCTGCCTGCGTATAATAAGAAACGGAACGTAGGTACGGGGCTGAATAAAGCACGAAGCGATTGGGAGAGATGTCAGATGAGACTTACTGTTTGCTTGAGCTTATAACTCAGAATGAGCCTTACTTTTTCAGTCTTAGAACAACGTTTTTCTCTTACAACAAATTAGTCCTACAAATCAACCGTAACAGTAATAAGTCCTGCCGAAAAGAGCCTAAGATTGTATTTGGGCTGGACACGGACTGGGTTTAGACATGCCAGACCCGTGTGGGGCCCAGGTGGGAAAAATTTAAGAAAATAATTAATAATTAGAATGAAGAGCTTTGAGATCTTAGCGATTTTTAGAAAGTGGAGTACCGGAGCCGTTCTCTTATCATTCATTATTACAGAGAGAAGAGATCAAGTTCTCTCACTCTGATGAAGATGCTATAATAAACAACAGGTACGAAATTTGCATTGCGATTTTTTTTTGGGAACAATTTGCGGTATTGAAGATCCCAACAATAATATATATTGTGATAGACCTCTCATTCTCATGGTCGCTCGTGGATCCACGTCATCCGGTACAAAAGTAACCACACGCCGCCTCAAGTAGCTAGGTGAGTGGTAGCAAATATCCACATGCTGCATGTCCCTCTACTTAAAGCAGGTAGCAGCAGCAGCATGCACCGGCTCATCGGACACACGGCGTGTGCCACTCACGCACACAACATATCAGCTAACAAACCCGGCCAAAGGCTGCGAGAGCCGACGGCCTGAACGTACATACGCACGTGTCTACTCTCTCAGCTAGTGTCCTGTGGTGGCCACCATGCACACCGAGACAGCTGGCAATAATGGCATCCGGCGGCGGCGCCATGGCGCCGTCGCGCTGCTGCTCGCAGCCGTAGTGGTCCTCGCCGCCGCGGCCCAGACGGCTGCGGCGCACCCGCCGCGCGGCGGGGTGACGAGCAGGTACGTGCGGAAGCACCAGGCGTCGGACGACATGCCGCTGGACGCGGACGTGTTCGCGGTGCCGGCGGGCCGGAACGCGCCGCAGCAGGTGCACATCGGGCTGGCGGACCAGACGGGCACCGCCATCTTCGTGTCCTGGGTCACCGTGGAGGCCGAGGGCAACAGCACCGTCCTGTACGGCCGCGCCGCCGACAACAAGCTCGACCTCGCCGCCGAGGGCATCATCACGCGCTACACCTACTACAACTACACGTCGGGCTACATCCACCACTGCACGCTGGCAAACCTCGACCACGGCACCAAGTACTACTACGCCGTGGGGTTCGGCGACACGGTGCGCACGTTCTGGTTCACGACGCCGCCGGCGCCGGGGCCCGACGTGCCGCTGCGGCTGGGGCTCATCGGCGACCTGGGCCAGACGCCCGACTCCAACAGCACGCTGACGCACTACGAGTCCCACCCGGGCGACGCCGTGCTGTTCGTCGGCGACCTGTCGTACGCCGACAAGCACCCGCTGCACGACAACAACCGGTGGGACACGTGGGGCCGGTTCGCCGAGCGCAGCATATCGCGTACCAGCCGTGGGTGTGGACGACGGGCAACCACGAGGTGGACTTCGCGCCGGAGCTCGGCGAGCTGGCGCCGTTCAAGCCGTTCACGCACCGGTACCCGACGCCGTGGAAGGCGAGCGAGTCGTCGGAGCCGTACTGGTACTCGGTGAAGCTGGGGCCGGCGCACATCATCGTGCTGTCGTCCTACTCGGCGTTCGGCAAGTACACGCCGCAGTACAAGTGGCTGGAGGCGGAGCTGAAGCTCGTGGACCGGGAGGTGACGCCGTGGCTGTTCATCAGCACGCACGTGCCGTGGTACAACAGCAACAACTTCCACTACATGGAGGGCGAGCCGATGCGGGCGCAGTTCGAGAAGATGGCCGTGGACGCCCGCGTCGACGCCGTGTTCGCCGGCCACGTCCACGCCTACGAGCGCACCCACCGCTACTCCAACATCAAGTACAACATCACCGACGGCAAGTGCACCCCCATCGCCGACCGCCGCGCACCGGTCTACGTCGTCATCGGCGACGGCGGCAACGTGGAAGGGCTCGCCGACGAGCTCACCTGGCCGCAGCCGGCCTACTCGGCGTTCCGGGAGTACAGCTTCGGCCACGCCGTGCTGGACATCAAGAACCGCACGCACGCCTACTACGCGTGGTACCGCAACCACGACGGCAACAAGGTCACCGCCGACACCATGTGGTTCACCAATCGCTACCACATGCCCAACCACGACGACTCCGTCTACTCTATCCACGCGCCTGCCTCCGCCAAGCCAAACAAGGTCGCCTACGCGTCCGCGTATTAGCGTAATAATCCATCATAGCACACCCAGAGCTGCATGCTTTCCTCCCAAATAAAAAATTGTGCTTGATGCTAATAAGGCCACTTATATTGCTGCCATGGACGACATACATGGATATCATGTGCCTATCAACCAGACATATATGGAACAAATATCTATCTTATATCTATTATATTGTTTTATTAATAAACTTTGGCTGAATATATAGTCAGATTGTGTCCCTTGTCTTTGCCACAAGCCTCAATGTTGCCCCAAGCTCTGACCCTTAATGAAATAGTACGTGCCAAGCACGTTCTAAAAAAAAGCTCTGACACTACGACCTATCTTGTTTTTTTTTTCACGATCGGGCCTTTAATCCGTTTGTCATTAAGAGGAATGGCCAAAAGAAACACCGGAAACGGTTACAAACGGACTCACAAGTAATCCTAGGATTACCTGCAGAATCCGAAAGACGGATTACCTGGAGAATCCGAAAGACACAAACGAACAGCAAGAAAACACGAGGGGGACCACCACTCAAAACACCAACCGACTATGCCTGCAAAAGAAAAATACATCCACGCAATGGTCGCCCATAGAGGGGGTGAAGCCGTGGTGGCAAAGTATCCACCGGTAGAAAGCACAACATATCCGCAAGCGACCAGCTAGCAGCAGCTACGAAGAAGATGACAGTATCCGCAAACGATCAGGTAGTCGCTACGAAGAGGGGACCAGGTAGTCGCTACGAAGAGGGTGATGACAGTATCCGCAAGCGACCAGCTAGCCGCTGCAAAGAAAACGACAGCATCCGCAAGCGACCAGGTAGCCGCTGCGAAGAAGATGACGACTGCGGCAACACCACCACCATAGGTGGGCAGACCAAAGCGAAGAGAAAGCTGAAGCACGATAGGCACAATAAAAGCTAGGAGCGGCTCCGACGGATGGTGGCCAACAACGAAGCCTCCAAGAAGAAAATAACGTCCACAGACGCCAACAACGTTGAAGAGGGCACAAGAAGGACTTTCATCCCAGAACCGACCCCAACGACCCGCGCGATGAACAGATCCTTCGACGATGCCTTCAGGAAGGTGGATGACGCAGGCTGCGCCACCGCCATCGGCCCGAAGCGAGAAGCCGAGCAAGGTTTATACCCAAGAGCTTGTTCGACCACGGTCGCTGGGGGTATCCCTTGGCCCCGGCCCCCGGCCCCCAGAGGTGCTGGCCACCAAAAGGTGGTGGCCCCGCCATGGCCATGGCCAGCAGCCGCCAGCCAGCCCTGCCTGCCAGCCAGACGCACGAGCCCCCAAAGCCGCCAGATCTGGTTGCCGCTTGGGGTGGCCCGGCCACGCACCGGCCAGCCACAGCACAGGACAGCCCGGCCACTGAATGACGCCTGGGCGCCAACGCGAACAGGAGGGGGAGGTGCAGGTGCGGGATCCGACAACCACGGCCATAATCCCCCGCCCCACAAACGCCGCGAAGCAGCCAATGACCACGCGTCGTGGCGGCTGCACGGCTAGCCACCAACGAGCAGCAAGCCAGATCTGGCCGCTGCCAGCATGCCGCGACGAAACTGGCCGCCGCGGCCTGGCCCTGGCACGGCAATTTTTTTTTATTTTTAACACTTTTTTAAAACTATTTTTAAATCTAACACTATTTTTTTTTCAAATCTAACACTTTTGGTCGTGCCTATTTGCATGGCGCGGCGAAATCACGCTGCCGCGCCATGCATGGGGCGCGGTAGGAGCGGTGACGTGGCAGCGACCAGGCCGCTGAACGCTGACGTGGCCGGGTCTGCCGCGCCGCGGATCATGGCGCGGCACTGACGTGCCACGGAGCATGGCGCGGCAAGACCCAGGCGGGCGGGTTGTTCTAAGGTGGTGTTTAGATCCAGTGACTAGAATTTAGGAGGTGTGTCGGGAGGATGTTGCATGGGTGTTCGGATATTAATAAAAAAACAAATTACATAATCCGTCAGTACTCCACGAGACGAATTTTTTAAGCCTAATTAACCTGTCATTAGCACATGTTTACAGTAGCACCACGTTGTCAAATCATGGACTAATTAGGCTTAAAAGATTCGTCTCGCAAATTAGTCGTAAACTATGCAATTAGTTTCGTAATTAGTCTATATTTAATACTCCATTCATGTGTCCAAACATTCGATGGGACAACGACTAAAATTTAGGAGGGATAACCAAACACCGCCTAAAACAAGTTTAACTTTGACGGTGTTTAGTTGGGCAGACAAACTTTGCATAGTGAAGATTCACTGCTGTAGCATTTTGTTTGTATTTGTGAATTATTGTCCAAACATTGACTAATTAGGCTCAAAAGATTCGTCTAGCAAAGTTAAAGCAAACTGTGCAATTAGTTTTTGATTTCGTCTATATTTAGTACTCCATACATGTTCCGTAAGTTTAATGTGACGGGGAATCTTCTTTTTGCATAGTGCAATTTTCGGAAGTTTAGAGTAACCTGAACAAAGGCTTTATAGACTAGCCCTGGCAACTAGTTCGCAGCAGCAGCGTTTCGGTACAGTGCAGGCCCATTGTTTAAGGCACATGGAGAAACATGGCACGAGGCAGGGGCCAGGGCCACCGTATGAATCATCGACATGCCTGCCTGCGCCGGTCCACCAGCTCGAATTGAATGAATGAACAAAGACACCAACCATACCAGCCCCTAACTTTTTATTATCTCTTACAGCTACTGTTTTTTTGTTTGTTTTCTCTTTACCACCCTTTTTAATGGTTTTTGGACACAATTGGAAAAAAGTTTCAAGAACATTTTTATAACGGAACCAATGTGGGCCACTCTGACAAATCTAGGCCCACATGTATCCTTGATTTTATCACGCATGAATCCTCGTGGATCCTTTACCGTGTACTAGGTTGTATCACGCAGGAAACAAATAGTACAGTACGCGGGTCCTGTGATTCCTGTTAACGCATTGGAAGAAAAGAAAGTACTAGGGTGTCTAGGTTAATTTATCAGTTGACGGTTCAACCGGGAATTGGAACAAGAATAATAATCACCTGTGAATCTGTGATAAAGAAAGGTAGATATATATGATTTGATTTGTGCCACGGTACTGCCACGGACTATTTCGTTGGATTCTTCCACAGTACTGCCACGTCCATGGGCTCATGCGCGACAAGAAAACGAGATCTGAGTAAGAAAAAGGACTACGGGCATCGGGCCTGGTCAGAGCGGCCTGGATTTTTCTTGGGAGCGTTCGGCTGGCTGGCTGGCTGGCTGGGTTGAGCCCGGCTGCCCAGTTCACTCACAGGAATACTGTTTACGTCTAGGTAGAATAGTATTTTTTTTTTCACAACAATCAGCCGGAACAATATTTTAGCTTATTTTTCAGTCCTGCCGAATAGGCTCCTTGTCTGGGACCTAGATTTGTCAGAGTGGCCTAGATTGGTCCGTTATAAAAATGTTCTTGAAACTTTTTTTCCAATTGTGTCAAAAAACCATTAAAAAAAGGTGGTAAAGAGAAAACAAACAAAAAAACAGTAGCTGTAAGAGATAATAAAAAGTTAGGGGCCGGTATGGTTGGTGTCCTTTGTATAACTCTAAGACTTGAATAAATCTTGCATGGTTCCTCAGTGGACAGTAGGTTCTAGTTGCTCACCTAGTTCAGCAATATCAGTCAATGAATGAACTTAGCTAATTTAGCCCTTGTTTAGTTCGCGAAATTTGGATTTTGGGGCTAGTGTAGTACGTTCGTTTTTATTTGGCAAATAGTGTTCAAACATGGACTAATTAGGCTCAAAACGTTCGTCTCGTAATTTCCCACCAAACTGTGCAATTAGTTTTTCTTTTCGTCTAAATTTAATACTCCATGCATGGGCCGCAAACATTCGATGTGACACGTACTGTAGCAACTTTTTGGATATTGGGGTGAACTAAACACGGCGTTAGTCACCAGTCTATTTTGGATGTTGCTGGCAACGTGGGAGGAAGGTAGTTCAGGAACAGTGTGTTGTTCTCCCAGACTCTCTGGAGGTAATAATGCCAGTATGTGACTATTAGACTAGTGTATGTGACAAGTAAATCTCTGGATGGGACAGAAAATGACAATGTTTTTGACTAAAAAAAACAATGACAGTGTTGTGATAAAATGTGTTCTAGAGCTGTTCCTGCAGGGACTAAAAAAAGGAAAAAAAGGACAATGTTGTGATAAAATGTGTTCTAGAGCTGTTCCTGCATGGATTAAAAAAAAGGCAAAAGAGAAAATGTCTGAGCTTAAAAAGCCAAAAAAAAAAGTGTCTGAGCCCAGGTTCGAACTGGGGACCTTTAGTGTGTGAGACTAACGTGATAACCAACTACACCACCCAGACAATGCGGTGAGCAACTTTAGTGCGTGAGACTAACGTGATAACCAACTACACCCAGACAATGCGGTGAGCTGTTGTTTTCTTGTTTCTTTGTTCGCTGTGCGTGGTCTGCAAAGTGCTGGCTATCTAATCATCCTCCGGCCGAACTCCAGCTCCAGCTTTGCATGCGTAAACCTCCACAAGGCTGTATCAGACAGTCAGAGATCTGTAGTACCATTGTCCATGTCCTACGTCAACAATTCAAGCCTATTTTTTAGAGTTTTATTTAGGGCTGAGCCCCAATCTTTTAATAATTGGATTAAAAGACGGTTACATCCCTGCAGGTGGCATACCACCTGGTGCGGGGACCGGCGCCCGCGCGCGCCCGCCGCCGCCTCCCCCACGACTCCTCTCCCTGGATCCAACTCGCCCCTGCCGGGATGCGCCGCCTTTTCTCCTCCCTGGGCGCGCGCAGGTGCTGGCGCGCCGCCATCGACGCCGCCCGCATCTCCGGTGGCCTCCACCCCCTCCTCCTCCCCGGCCATCCTCGGGTCCTCCCTCGCCTCCCTCCTTCCCCGTGCCGAGGGGCGCCGGAAGGGCACCCGGCGCTGCCCCAAACGGGTTCCCTCGCCGGTGCCGAGCCCGCGTGCTCCGTGCAGCCTCGCCAGGGGGGCCTGATCTGGTGTCCCCCACCCTCTC